CGTGACGATTGTTAATGCGTACGGCGTCCTCAGGGATATATATGCCGCGGCGGATATTGTGTTTGTCGGCGGTTCGCTGTGTGAACGCGGCGGGCAAAACTTCATTGAACCGCTGGCAATCGGTATCCCAACATTCACCGGCAATAAAATCCCCAACTTTATCGGGGAAGCAGAACTGTTGCAATCCGAAGGCTGTCTGCCGATGGTCAGCAGCGCGGAAGATATACATAATCTGCTCGTAAATTTTATACAAAGTACACAGGGAATGAAAGCACAGGCGTTAAAGGCACAACAGATTATTTCAGCCGCCGGCATTCGGTGCCGCGAGGAAATCCGCCGTCTGCAGTCCTATATACGGGCATAAACATGACCCGGAAGAATCAACCCGGATTGATGGTAAATATCTGAAGAAGGCGGATAATCCGGATCAGAGTATATCCGCTCAAAAAAACATATTTAACCCGGTATTCGCACTATTTACGCACTGTTAATCTTGGTGTAGATTGATCCTCTTTATTTCATACTGCTGTGAATATCTGTGGGTCTAACCCGTTTAGTATTGCACTCCTTAACCGTTAAAATAAAAAAAACAAACGTACGCGCGGTGTTGCCTGTATTTGCCTATGAGCATGATGCGGGTGCAGATGTGACGGCTGTCTCGTATGAAAAAGTCCGTGATAATGTCTATCTGCTGGACACGGGAATTGCCGCCGAGCCTCCGGCAGGGTACTATCTGGAACTGCACTCCCGATCAGGCATCTGTAAGACAGATTTTATTCAGGCAAATCAGGTAGGAATTATAGACCCCGGTTATCGCGGCAGCATCAAAATGCCGTTACGTTATATCGGTTCGGAAAACGGGGATGAGACCGTTCAGCGGCTTATCGGAACGCGGATTGGACAGCTTATCCTGCGTCAGGCATTATATTTTAAGACAGAAGAAGGCTCAGAATTGTCTGACTCTCTGCGCGGAGTAAGCGGTTTTGGCAGTTCCGGCAATTAGCCGGACAGATATAACCGTTTAAAATATGAACGGTTAAAACTTACAAATGAATACCATACAAAGTTCCCCTGATTTTTTTACGGATGGATTTTTCAAATTTAAAGGTTGCAGTTCTGCATTACTGGCTAACGTCATACCGGGGCGGAGAACGGGTTGTAAAGCAAATCCTGAAACTGTTTCCGCAGGCAGACATCTATACCTTGTTTGCAGACCCGCAGATATGCCGGGAGCATTTTGCCGGGCATAAAATTTACAGCTCTTTTTTAGACAAGCCCATTCTGCGGCGGTATTATAAAAACCTGTTTCCGCTTTACCCGATGGGTGTAGAAAAAATTAACTGCAACAGAAGTACGATCTGATTATATCATCAGAGTCCGGCCCTATTAAAGGTATTCCAAACCCTCACGGCATCCCTCACATCTGCTATATTCATACACCGATGCGTTACTGTTGGGGATATACGGAAGATTATCTGCAGAGTATTCCGGAACCCCTTAAATACGCTGTCGCGCATATGTTCCGCAAACTACGCCGCTGGGATTACACGACAAGGGATGCACCTGATTTATATATTGCCAACTCAAAAAACGTCCGAACACGCGTCAAACAATACTACCATAAAGAGGCAGAGGTCATTTACCCTCCTGTCAGCGCATATCTGTTTGATGAGCCTTTAGAGGCACAGAAAGAAAAATATTATCTTTATTTGGGTGCTGTCACACCGTATAAAGGCGTAAATATGATGATTGAAGCATTTAATATTACCCGAAAACCGCTGGTGATCGCGTCTGACCGTGCCGACTGAATAAACTGAAAAGCAGCGTAAATCCGGAATATATCCGTCTGGTAACCGCACTGAGCGAGGAAAACAAAATCAGATTGTACAAAAGCGCACGCGCATTAATTTTCCCAGCGGACGAAGATTTTGGAATTGTGCCGCTGGAGGCGATGGCGTGCGGAACGCCGGTAATTGCGCTCGGACGTGGCGGTGCGCTGGAGACGGTGATTGAAAATCCGGACGAGGTCAGTGAATCCACCGGTATTTTCTTTAAAGATAAATCCGCCCGCGCAATTAATCTGGCGATACAGCAATTTGAAAAAGTGGAAGATCAGTTCTCACCGGAGTTCCTGCGTATGCACGCCGCTAAATTCCACGATGATGTATTTCTGAATAATATGGAAAAAACCATCCGCCGCTTTCTGGAAAACTGCACTCGGTAAACCCGAATAATTATGTCAGTCGATTATTTTAAAAAATATTTGTTTTCATGGATTTTTGTTTACATGTTCGCCGATGCGCTTGCCGTTACCTGCGGCTGGGTATTTGCTTACTGGCTGCGGTTCAATCTTGGGCTTCCGTACCCGGTTGAAGATAATCCGTTCTTTCTGTATATGACCGTTGCCGGCATAATCCCGCTCCCGGCGGTGCTTTGTTTTATGCAGGCAGGATTTTATCACAGCCGGCGGATGGACAAATTTCACGTCGGATACATCACCCTTATTAAAGGCATCCTGTACCTGATGATTGTCATATTGGCAGTGCTGTTCTTCTTCAGAACTGTATCCTTCTCGCGCATATTTGCGCTCTATTTTATGACGGGTACATTTATATTCATCAGCCTCTTCCGTTACGGTGTCCGTCAAATCAACCGCTACGCTCTGATGCGTTCTCCCCGCCGACGCAGGATCCTGATTGTCGGCAACGGACGCACCGCAAAAAATCTGATTGAAAAAATCAGAGCCAACCGCATCTTCGGGTTTAGGATTATCGGCACAATTGCTACCCTCTCAAACCCCTGTCATTCAGTCTGACAAAACAATTGAGGAGATTCCCGCCCTGCTGGAACAAAACAGCGTGGATGAAGTATTTATTGCACTGGATATTGAAGATGCAGGGTTGCAGCGCGAAATTAACCGCGTGCTGTCTGATGTACACGTGGATATTAATTTTGTGCCCGACATCTACCATTCGATCAATCTAAATCCGGCGATTATTGATTTCAGCGGTATCCCCGTGATGGTACTGCGCCAAAGCCCTCTGTACGGTTGGAACAGATTGGTTAAACGGCTGTTTGATATTACCGGAGCACTGACAGGAATTTTGATTTTCAGCATTCCCATGCTGATTACAGCAGTGCTGATTAGGCTGCATTCCAAAGGCAGTGTGATCTATAAACAGCGCAGAACAGGATTGGACGGAGTAGATTTTCATATTTACAAATTCCGCTCCATGCGTACAGACGCGGAAATACAGTCCGGTGCTGTCTGGGCGGTTAAAATGACGACCGCACGACTCCTATCGGAAAAATTATCCGCAGGACCAGTATTGATGAGCTGCCTCAGTTTTTAATGTCCTGAGAGGCGAGATGAGCTTGGTTGGACCGCGTCCGGAAAGACCGGAGTTTATCCGTAAATTTCGTCAGCAAATCCCCAATTATACCCTACGGCATAAAGTGCAGGCCGGCATCACCGGATGGGCACAAATCAACGGATGGCGCGGCAACACCTCTCTGGAAAAACGTATTGAGTATGACCTGTACTATATCACCAACTGGTCAGTGTGGTTTGATATTAAAATTATTTTGCTGACCTTTGTGCGTGGTTTTGTCAATCCCAACGCCTATTGAATCCTTACTATTATTTTTCTGCCGGCAGTAAATTGTTTTTTGTGCTTATTATACAAAAAAATAAATGACATCTGCTCTCTGAAAAATGCCTATTTCAAAACTCTCTTTCTTTTTCCTGAAGAAGATATTTATTCCATCATTGTGTTTATTTATACTGCTGAACTCTTCATTACACTCACAGGAAAATCCTTCTCCCCCCGTTCAGCGGTCTGCATTTGAAGAATACCTCTTCGGCAAACCTATTCCTGCTCAAAACATATCTGTTGCCGATCCAAAACAAAATATGACAATCCCTCCCAAAATATATTTAAAAAAGATACAGGGAGAGGTAGGTATTGGTGAAATCTATTTGAGTTCCAGACAGGGAGGAATATTTTGTTCCTAAGGGAGGATCTATATCAGATTTAAACTTATTCTTTTCATACAAGGGATTCGGGTTAGAGTTAGAAAGGTTTTATATGCAAAACGGCGAGACGCCCGCCAGCTATTACACTTTGACGGGTGCAGATAAAAATGATTTTGACCCGTCAGCAGATGCAATATATCTGAGAGCAAAATTAAACGCAACTCTTATATGCGGTCGCTATGAATACATGTTTGGTAAAGTAATATTTGAGCAAGTTTTATATTTTTCCGTTTCTCTCGGTATATGTGAGTCTATAGCAGCAGTATACAGTGTAGAATTGCTTAAGGCATTCGAGAAGCACTTTATTATTATAGGGTTTATGAGTCTGAGACTTTGATTTATCAGGAATTTAAAGGTCGTGTGAGAAGATATAATCTTGATTTTTACATGTATATCTCGGCTTATATTAATTTATCATTCAAAATCCTTTACTTAAACGGAGATTTTGAAAAGAAAACTCTTGTATACGCCAAAGGACAACCGAATGAAAAAATATGGGATGTTGAACCTCGCTTTTCAGGATATGGAGGAATGGTCTCGTTAGGACTCAATGGACAATTTTAAGAATGACTAACTTCAGAAATACAATTAACTTCAAAAATAAGTTGACAGGGTTTATTTTTAGGGATTATATTTAATCGCTTTTGCTGACGTAGCTCAATTGGCAGAGCAACTGATTTGTAATCAGTAGGTTGCGGGTTCAAGTCCCATCGTCAGCTCAGCAGTTAAATTGTATTTTACTGTGGGGAGATTCCCGAGCGGTCAAAGGGAACAGACTGTAAATCTGTCGGTGTACGCCTTCGAAGGTTCGAATCCTTCTCTCCCCACCATTAACAGCAGCACAGAGAATACAGATTGCCCGGATAGCTCAGTGGCAGAGCATTTCCTTGGTAAGGAAAAGGTCGGCAGTTCGATCCTGCTTCCGGGCTGGGCTTTTTCCTTTTAGGGCTTTAGAAGCATTGATAGGTCAGTAGCTCGAACTGGTAGAGCGCCGGTCTCCAAAACCGGAGGTTGGGGGTTCGAATCCCTCCTGGCCTGCACCCATTTTCAACGGCGCATTTGATATGTCAAAACTAAAGAAAGGCATTGGTTTTTTTCTGAAGTTAATTCAGAGTTAAAAAAAGTTACCTGGCCCACAAAAGAAAACACGCTGAAACACTTAACGGTTGTGTTTGCGTTCATCATTATTATGATGGTATTTTTGGGTACCATTGATTACCTGTTTACCTATATGGTAAGCTTTTTTATTAAATGAAACTGTAATTTGCGCGCATGGAAGATACGCATGTAAATCCGCTGTCAGCGACTGACATACAGGATACCGGAGAGAAGAGCTGGTATATCCTGAAAGCGACCGCCGGCAGTGAAAAAAAAGTCGCCGCGATGCTGATGCAGCGCATTAAGTACCATAACCTTGAGCACTGTGTGGAGGAAGTTTTTATCCCCGCAGAAGAAGTAGTGGTAAAAAAGCAGGGCAAACAGTCCAAGCGCACCATCACCTATTATCCGGGATATATCATCATCAAAATTCAGATGACGGATGACGTGTGGCATATTATCAAAGAAACACCGAAGATATCGGGCTTTGTCGGCGGAACCCAAAAAGAACCGCAGAAAATCAGTCCGTCAGAACTGCAGGCAATTAAAGAGCAGATTAATCAGGGCGTTAAACAGGCAGAACTTAACTCAACTTATCAGTTGGGGCAAAGTGTCAGAATTATTGAAGGCCCGTTTGCCGATTTCAACGGAAATGTGGATGCGGTTGATACCGAGCGCAACAAACTGACTGTAAAAGTCAGTATTTTTGGACGTGCCACACCGATTGAACTTGATTTTGATAAAGTAAAGATAAATAATTAACCGTTTTACCTATCCGGACAGATATTCACGTAAGTACGTAAATGGCAAAGAAAATATCAGGTTATATTAAATTACAGATTCCCGCAGGCAAAGCTAATCCGTCACCGCCTATCGGGCCGGCACTCGGACAAAAAGGGGTGAATATCATGGAATTCTGTAAACAGTTTAATGCTAAAACACAAAATATGGACGGTGTCGTTACACCGGTTGTTATTACTGTGTTTGAAGACAAGTCGTTTACGTTTATTCTGAAAACACCGCCGGTTCCTGTTCTGATCAAAGACAAACTGAAACTGCAAAAGGTTCAGCAGAACCGAACAAAACCAAAATCGGCAAAATTACCAAAGAGCAGATTGCAGAAATTGCCAAAATTAAAATGCCGGATTTGAATTGCTACAGTATTGAGTCGGCCGAACGCATGGTTGCCGGCACTGCAAAAAGTATGGGGATTGAAGTTCCGCAGGGATATTAATCATCCCGGCAAACCCTTTAAGATATTATTATTAAGATTACACTGACCGTTTATTGTTATACCTGCTATGAAACAGACTAAAAGACACAAACTCTTCAGCGAAAAGGTAGAAAATACCATGCTTTACACATTGGAAGAAGGTATTAAGAAACTGAAAGAGTGCAAAAAATCAAAATTTGACGAAAACGTAGACATCGTCATCAAACTGGGTATCGATCCGAAGAAAACCGATCAGGCGATTCGCGGCGCGTGCAACCTGCCGCACGGAACAGGTAAAACAGTCCGTGTACTGGTATTCGCAAAGGGTGATAAGGAAAGAGAAGCCAAAGAAGCCGGCGCTGATTTTGTCGGCGGTGCTGATTTGTCAGAAAAGATTAAAGGCGGGTGGCTTGAGTTTGACCGTGTTATTGCGACTCCCGATATGATGGGTGAAGTCGGGAAAATCGGGAAAATTCTGGGGCCGCGTAATCTGATGCCGAATCCGAAAACCGGCGGTGTGACCGCAGATGTTGCCCGCGCAGTTGGTGATCTGAAAAAAGGACAGGCACAGTTTAAATCCGATAAAGGCGCAAACGTGCATGTACCCGTAGGTAAACTGTCCTTTGAAGAAGGCAAACTGAAAGATAATATTATGTCCGTAGTAGACACCGTGAACCGTCTGAAACCATCCGCGTCAAAAGGAATTTATCTCAAAGGTATGGTTATCAGCAGTACGATGGGACCGGGTATTAAAATTAATATCTCGGGGATTGCCGGTTAATTTCTGATTTGGTATCTTTATTCGCTACGTAAATTTTTACTGATTTTTTGACTGAATTTTTAGAGTAAACACTTAATTCACATATCTGAGACAGCAGGTGTCCTTTTTTGGACTTAATATCCCGCCGGAGATATTGTTTGAGCGTCTGTTTTGGGCGTTTTTACCTTTCTTCTTTGCGGTTTTTCCGCTGTCCGATATTTATTTCCCGAGTCCTTATATGTTAAGAAACGATAAAGAAGCACTGCGCCGGCAGTACCATGAGATTTTTTCTCAGGCATCGTCGTGCATTTTAATAGAGACCCATAAACTGACCGTTGCCGAAGTTACGGAAATCAGAAAACTCCTCAGCAAGGAAAATTGTGGCTTTAAAGTGCTGAAGAACCGGATTGCGGTAAAAGCGGCGGCCGGTACTCCGTTTGAGCAGGCAGTTCCGCACCTGACAAAGACCCGCGCACTGATATATTCTGCGAAGGATGTTGTTGCGCCGAGCAAAATTATGTCGAAGCAGGTGAAACAAAATAACAAAATGTCGCTGGTATTCGGCACGCTGGTATCAGGTGACCGCGTTCAGACACTGACCCCCGCAGACATTAATGCACTGGGCAATCTGCCGAGTAAAGAAGAGCTGATCGCTAAAGTGCTGTATGTTCTTAATGCACCGATTACCAACTTTGTCCGCACGATTAACGAAGTTCCGGCGTCTTTTGCCCGGGTGCTTCAGGCAACGGCAGACAGCAGGCAGTCAGCGGCATAATCATTATTATTTTTTAACTTTTGTACTACTAACCCAATACCTTTACAGGAGCAAACATGTCCATTACCAAAGATCAATTAATTGAGCATATCTCTAACATGACCGTTCTGGAACTTTCCCAACTGGTGAAAGACCTGGAAGAGAAATTCGGCGTCAGTGCCAGCGCGGCTGTAATGGCGGCGGCTCCGGCGGCCGGGCGGTGGGCGGCTCCGGCGGCTGAAGAGAAGACCTGAATTTGACATTATTCTAAATCATCCGGTGCTGACAAAATTAAAGTAATTAAAGAAGTCAGAACTATTACCGGACTGGGACTGAAAGAAGCAAAAGACCTCGTGGAAGCTGCGGGCCCACAGTGTTTCGTGAAGAAAAGTGTCAACAAAGAAGAAGCCGAAAAACTGGTTAAGCAACTGAAAGAAGCAGGCGCAGACGCAGTTTCTGCTTAATCTCCCCTGTTACACAGTTATCGTGCATGCACGGTAACTGTCTCCGTCAGTTTTTCCTGCGCTTTGTTTTGTTTTATATTTCTGTTTTTGCTGTGGGTTTGCTGATTTAGTATCAGAGCAGGTTAGCAGCCAACTCCGCAAGACGCGACCGTTCTCCCTTCAGCAGGCAAACATGTCCGGCGGCATCTTCGTCTTTCAGTTTTTCAATCACATAAGTTAAACCGTTGGAAGCAGAATCCAGATAAGCGTTGTCAATCTGGTAAGGGTCGCCCGTCAGCACAATCTTTGTGCCTTCACCGGCGCGTGTGACAATGGTTTTAATTTCATGAGGGGTCAGATTCTGCGCCTCATCTACGATCATATAGCGATTGGGAATGGAGCGGCCGCGGATATAAGACAGAGCTTCAATTTCAATCACATTTTTTTCAATCAGCCGGCGGTAATCATTCATCTTACCGGCTCTAGAACCTGCGCGAGTCTGGAGATATTCCAAATTATCAAATATCGGCTGCATCCAAGGCTCAATCTTCTGTTCCAAATCACCGGGCAAATAACCCAGCTCCCGTCCCATCGGAATAATGGGGCGGGACACCAGTATTTTGGTATAGCTGTCCCCACGGTACAACTGCTCCATCGCTGCCGCTAATGCCAGCAGTGTTTTACCTGTTCCCGCTTTTCCCGCCAGAATCACAATATCCACCGCCGGGTCAGTCAGCAAATCCAACGATGCTGCCTGTTCTGTGTTTTTTGGGAAAATATCCCACACGCCCTGCTTAAAACTACTGACAGTACGCAGGAGTTTATTGCGCTGAATATAACGGCACAGTACCGACGGTAACTGCCCATGCTTTAGCAGGATGTGCATATTGGCGTATGGATGATGAATATAACCGGGCAGTGTCACAGCACCGTTTTTCATCAGAAATTCGTAATCTTCGGCAGTAATATCTGCTTCCGCAATCGTCTGATAAACTTCCTCGCTGTCCGGAATATCATCATTCAGCCCCTGTACCTCTATGTTAAAAGATCCGGCCCGAATCTTCAGACTGTAATCATCGGTAATCAGCACCACACGGGCCCCGAAGAACTGATGCATATTCTTAATCTGGAGCGTACCGGACAGCACCCGGTTGGGGTTTTTACTCATATCCAGATATTCCGGCAGAAGACTGCTTTTATGCGCAAATGCTACCGTATAAAGCACCGCGCCGTTTTTGAGTTTTACGCCTTCCTGAAGCGACCCCGCCTGCCGGATTTCATCCAGATTTTTCAGTGTCAGCCGCGCGTTACGCCCGATTTCAGACACTTTGGTCTTGAAATAGTCGAGTTCTTCAACTACCGACAAAGGTATCAGCACTTTAGCATCCGGAAATGCGTATATACAGGACGGATTACGCAGAAATATATTGGTATCCAGTACGTAACAGATATTGTGAAGAGTTGTCATATTTTATTAATTTTTTTCACAGGCTTACAAAAACTCGGGTATCGTATAACAAACCGCTATATCAGTAAAATCTTGATAGTGATTATTTATGCTGATTAAAATAATATTTGCATAATTCCGGCATTTATGTATAATTAATGTTCAAGTTGGCATTAACGGTGTTGCCTAAAAAACAAAATTCAAATCCGTTTATCGGTATACTATCCCGGTCTTGAATTGATACAACATACCCCTAAATCGGACACCCTTAAAGGAATACCGTTAATTCGGCTATTGCTTTGCTGTTTATTTCTGACAGTTGC